ATATTATTACATTAGTTTTGAACATTTAATAAATTCTTTTAATTTCGGCTGAATTATAGCATTATGAGTTAATTTTGGCTAAAATTATAAATTGAAATAAATCGAAATTTTTAAACAAATCGAAAATAATTTTTATGCAAATCGAAAGAATTTTTACGGGTCCCTGATATGAAGTAGAATCTGAAAAAAATAATCTTGATAAAAAAATAGGAAATATTTGTAATTATTTAAATAGTTAAAAGTGTTCCTTCTATTGTTGAGTTATTAATATGTTTCAAAAAGTTAATTGATACAAGTTTTATATATTGATAAAAGAAAAAAGAATAATTACAACATTTTTTGAATAATCCTCTGTAATTTTATTCATTATTATTATTACAGATTTTTGATTAAAATAATTTTAAAGTAAAAAAATGTTTATCAAAAAACATTAGGCAAATATATTTGATAGAAGATAAGAATTAAAGAATTGCATCTTCTTTTCTGAAGTGTTTTTTAAAAAAAAGAAAGAAGTTAATCTATTTTTTTTAAAGGAATATTTATAAAGTAAAAGGCTTAATTAGCTTATTTTACCCTTAAACTAATCCTAATTCTACCCTAATCCTAATCCGAATCCAAACCCTAACTCTAATACTAACCCTAATAATAAATACCCGGCAAATAAAATCCGGCTACCATTTTTTACGGGCGACGCTATGTAAGTTCTATAATCACGAGAAAATTCTTGTTTGAAAGCTCCGTTTGATTTGTTTTGGATTCAGCTGTCTAGGTGATTAAACCCAGCCCTTCCTTATTAAAATCCGGTTTACTTGTTTAGGATTTAGTTTTTTTAGGAGCTTGAACCCAATTAAGTAATAAATGTATTATAACTTATCCTTATAGATTCGTTTTCGTTAATTTCGCGCCCTCAAAGACCTTTGAACCCGAAACAAATTAAACGAATTTTAATAAGGATATTATCCAAGTATAAATATTAAAATCCGTTTAATTTGTTTTGGATTGAGAGGCCTTGGAGGGTGCGAAATTAACGAACACGAATCCAAGTATAAGGCAGCATCTAACCAATCATTTAAGTTCTTGCAAATACATCCCCCCTGCTGTTTATACAGGGCATAACTTTTTGAGGCTTTGATCTCATTTTCACGATTCATAATTTCAAATATATTGAAATATCTAAAAACATCACACATTGATTCAAGAAGTTGACTTTCTGTATCAACTATGTAAGGTTCAAGTATCTACTTGAGTTTTTCAACTGAAATTTTGACCTATAATAGTAATATAAATTAATAAGACCGTTGGAATTAGTTTAGAAATGGAAGTAAAGCCGTTGGCTAATTATAATATAAATTTGAACTATGTTTTTATCTGTTAAAGTTGAAGACCAATAAATTGCTTGACTTCTGTTGCACTGAAATATTATAATTGTCCCTTTATGAATAGCAAGGGATCTCCTTGAGGTTGCTGGCGTAATCACTATATTTTCGTAATAATGTGAATGTTATCAAAGATAATTAATTAAATTGTAAACAGAATATCAACAACCAAATAACAAATATTTTTTTTTACGTATTTTGTTCATTACCTTTTTTAGTAAATATTTCAGTCCCCGTCAATTTTCTTTTTTCAACTTTCTCAACACTTCCTTTCTTTTATATTTTTCTTTCCTCAACATTTCAACTCATCTAACCTCTATATATTCTTAAAGTTGGTGGTGTAAAGTAAGGGGGAAAGTTTCACAAGTTTATTTGTGTTATTGGATGCTTATTATCTATAACTGAAATAACGTTAATTTCGACCAGAATTATAATCAATGATAAATCGTGAAAATCACACACGCGACTCTAGTTTATAAATATAGAGGTAAGTCAAATTCAAATTCAACAATTCGCTTAATTCGCTTCTATATTCCCAGGACAATGTAAATTTCTTTAAATTCTTTTTTAATTATTTGACGGAATTTATTTAGTAAATGAATTATTTTTTATTCCTCATTTAGGACACGACGACCTCCAAAGAAAACAACCACCAGAAGTGTAACAAGAGCTGCAAAAGTGAGACAATCAATATTATCCAACTCATGAATGAATTTACTAACTGTTTAAATATTTAGGAAAAAGCTGCAGCAGAAGCTGCAGCTCAAACCGAAGCAACTGTTATAGAAGGAATAGAAGCTGACGGATCATATGAGATAGAAACAACTTATTCCCCTTCACAAATAGAAATTGAAGAAAGCGAAGAGATTGACGATAGTACAAGCACTTCAATACAAATGGAAGTGGAAGAATCCGATAATTTTAATACTATTTCTTCACAAATGGAAGTTGATACTTTTACCGCTTTTGAACAACCACCACCACCATCACCACCACCACCACCGCCACCAGCACCAGTAGTGATATCGAATAATTACTTAACTTCGATTGCTTCAACTATCGATCATATTCCTTCTACAGAATCTTTTACTTCTGAAAGTAGCTTTCCAGCTCCAGTGAATCTTCATCTTGTACCGAGGCTCTTTAAAAATCCTTATTATAAAACTCCAAAAAAATTTAAAACTCTTAAACAAATCCTAGTCGCCGAAAGAAATTTAAATACGCCTTTAGATGTACCAACTTGTAAATAACTTATTTAAAATTATTTTGATTCGATTACTAATAATGTATTTATATTTATTTGTTTATTTTTAGATTCTAATATAGAAGCACCGCCTTCAATTAAGCCGCAAAAGAAATATTGTGACATTACGGGATTAGAAGTAAACAAAATTACCATCACCAAGTTTGTCCATTATGTTTTATACGTAATTACTTATTCTTTTTTATCTTTATGTAGGCAAAATATACGGATCCAAAAACGCGTCTTCGATACCATTCTGCAGAGGTATATAAAGAAATTAAACAGTTGGCGCCCGGTGTCATCCAAGATTATCTTGGATTAAGACACGCTGCGGTTGTATTAAGATAATTCACCATAACTTAAAAACCTTTTGAAATGTTATAATTAAAATTAGCAAAATAAGAAATTCTTTTAATATTTATATATATATAACATATATACACAATAATATATTTCATTAAATATTCTTTCCTTATAAAATAATATTATAGAGTAAACAAATATAATTTTTTTTTGAATATATATTTTTTCTATATTACAATTATCTATTACACTTTGTACAAAGTATATAATATATATATTATTATTATTTTTTTTTTTTTTATGATAAATCGCATTTTCCTGGATCATCAAGGTTATGTTCCTCATTAATGTCTTCACCAATATCAACATTTAATACTGCATTATCAACAACTGAATTCCTCTGTAAATCTAGTAAAAATCTAAATAAACCTGCAGCTTCTCTTATTCGAGAAAACTGAAGGCAAAATGCTTGTATTTCTATAAAGAATCTATTGACATCTATTATATTATTTCTTATAAGTGACTGAAGGAATACACAAACCTATAAAAAAAAAAAAAATAATAATAATAATAATTTATTTAGCTTTTTTTTTTATTCATCAACCAATCGCATAACGTACATAACACACAAAAAAAACCCCAACTTACCAAGCGAACTTGACGATCCTGTATATTTCGATTTTGGCTTTCTTCACAAGCTCTTACACAATTAGAAAGGTACTTATGTAAAAACTCGGGAAGGAGTGGAAAAGAAGTTGTTAGTTGATTTACAACTTCCATGGAAGATCTCATCCTACTTACTGGTTCCATAGATGACTGTTGGGACCGTTCTGGATCATTAATTGCTACAAGCATATTCAAAAATCTATTTGGAGGTTTAATCTAGGTCTTAGTATCTAGAGTAAGGACATCACAAAAATTTAAATCTAAAATTTAATGATACTTGCTTGTAAACTTGAGGAGATGTTTTAAGTTGTAACAATGCCTCTACAGCAATCCTAGGATTATTTTCAACCAGATCAGGGAGCTTTTCTGGTGAGAGATCACATTGATAAACCAACTTATCATTCTTTTCAAATTGGCCCAGAATATACTTTGAATAATAATATGATCGTTTAATTAAATGGTCAATATGAAGAAATTGATACAAATAAGTCATTAATTACTAACCTCTTCTTCGGGTATTGTTAAAGCCCGCTGCAATGCCTTATCCATCAAAGCACGGGATTCATCTTGACTCGTAAATTCTGTTATTAAATCATAATCCTGTTCTATATCTTGTTCATTATCATGAATACCTAACCGATGAAGCTAGTTAAATTATAAGAAATATTAATATTAAAACAAAAAAATTTCCTCGTAATTCCGTTAATGTACTTTTGATATAATAATACCTCATGTTGAATGTCAGGAGTCCGAGTTGGAGCATAAGAACTTTCACTAACATCCAGCTCGTCAATTGCGGCCCATGACCAAGGCCGTGTTGAGTCATCATGCCTACTAATCATGATAATATGAAATTTATATAAACACAAATCCCTAATACCACACCAATTTTAGGTAACGAACCTTTCAGGTGACTCCTCTTTTGATGGTAGTTGTACATCAAATTCTTGTTTAAGATAATATTCAAATTCCGCTACGTTTATTTCTTCCGTATCAATTATCAGTGAGTTATCACCATGCGTAAATTGCTTATATACGTCCACGGGTGACTTATCAGCTAACTAATTTGTTAAATATTGATTAAATATGATACGTGGATGAGGATTATTTCAATTGACGAAAAAGGATCGGTACCTGTGAACCCTTATCAGCCAAGATCATTGCTTCTACACGAAATTCAACCAACATATCATTATTGGTTTTAATTAAAGTGAGATTTGAAAAAAGAGCTTTGTAAAGGTTTAAAAATAGTATAAGGAATGGATTTTGATGAATAGGTACAACATTGTACAAGTTGTAGAGAATATAAAGCGCCACAACTCTTTCGTTTGCCTATAAAATAACGCCAAATCCAAACATATTTTGATTTTCAAGTGTTAAGAGTCTTTTATGTTCCAGAACAAGTATAGAACAAGCACTTTTAATGGCTTTGTTCGCTAAACGAACCTGCAACTCGCCATCTTCTAACAACGCCATCAACGCACAAGCGGCTTCAAACCTTTTTTGTTCAGGAACTTTCCCTTTGAACGCAACCGCTATGTTTTCAAATGGCTGATCAAATATCTGTAGAAGGTCTTGAAACGTGGAAATTCCTTCAAAAGTCATTTTTTTTTAAAAAAAAAAAAATATTCTGTAATTGAAAATTAAAAAATTTTCCACTATCGATATATTTTTCCACATTTGTACAAGTTTGATGCACGTGCCACATAATAATTAATCAGTGATGTGACGTGTGGCTTTCGTGTTAATAATACAAAATCAGCAATACTTTTTTTGGTTAATTAAGATCAAGTAATTTATGTCGATATCTACGCTAAGTAATAAACTTTAATTTCTATTTATTGATATATAACAGGTGTTTCAAAATATTTAAATTATTTTAATTAATAAATCATTATAATTTAGTATTATATGTACAAAAATAAATTAGTTTAAATTTAAATTTAATTACCTATATAATTTAAATTTAAATTAAACTTAATTCTTTATAATCGAATAGTTTTAAATTTTAATATTTTTGCTAATTAATAAAATATTCAATAATTTAATAATCCTTATATTAAGAATTATGTAAAAATCACTTAATAATAAAATTATATCTTTTTTTTTTTGTTAATTAAACAAATTTATAAATTAATTTTGTTATATAAATGATTTATTATATTGATTTTTTTATATTAAATTTTTTTTTTTGGTTATTATGTTATTAAGTATAAATGAATTTTAAATAATCAGTTTTAAAAATATAATTTTTTGAGAATAAATCAAATATTCTAAAAGTTGTAAATTAACACTAAAATCCCTCCCAAAAAATAATCAAATTTTTAAATTGAATTACATTAGTTAATTAAAAAATATCAAAAATTATAATCTTAATAAATTATTTTTTTACTTTCTTTTTATATGTTAATGATCATATGAAATAAAAATAAGTATAATAAATTGAACTTGACACTATGTTATATCTTGTTTTTCATTTTACTAATTTTACTATGAATCCTAGGAAGGAAAATCCTATTTGTTACATTTATTTGTCATTTGGTTTAATTTTTTAATGCCGTAATACCGGCCGGCCGATTGAGAAATTTTTTGATGATACTGGGTTAAATGAACAACTTTCTTTTTTTTATTTAACAAATTATAAAAGAAATAATACGCAATTTATTTAATGAACACACATATATATATAAACAAAATCATACAAAAATATAACAAATTAATGTAAAAAGTACAACTGAATAAAAAAGAATATATACATTTCTTTTTATCCGAATAAACCACATTGTATAATACTATATTCGATAGGATCATAATTTTCAGCATTACCATTAGACAATTTACCGATTTGAATAACTTGCCACATGCCCTGGCCAACTCTAGTAACACAACACATAATAACAGCTTGAGAATTGGCTGCTTGATCTAATTGATAAGTACATAATGGTTTATCAGGTTGAGTTTGATCTACCAAATTAAAACTTGGAGTTTGAAAATGGCCAATGGTGGGAGATTTGAATGAGCTTAGAATGAAATATAACTGTGTCACTTCAGCTGGTAATTGATCTAAATTAGCCGTAATTTGCTGATGACCTCTTTTATTTGCATTGTCCATTAAATCACCTGAATGTTTCATATGCGGAAACGATGGATAAAATACTGATGCATAATCATATTTTCTATAAAAGGTGTCCCTGAGAATACGATGATAAATCAGTACGAAACGTTCAATTTTTGTAAATGAAATTCTTGAAAGCAAAAAAAAAAAAACCTTATGCTTACCCCATGTAGAGTAAACAAGTTCCATCCAAATAATCTTGATTTCCATTTGCAGGATAGCCCCAAAATAAATCAAATGTTAAATTCTTGATGGACTCTGCACGTGTAATATTATAAAGTACGACAATCAATTGAATATGACTTCCTGGTCCAATTTTATAATCTTGTAAAGTACTTGGCGTTGGTCCAGTTTTTCGATCCTAGCAAGATAGAAGAGAATCAAACAAAATTTAAAGGATAAAATTCAACCAATTTAGTATTTTGATAAAGGTATTAAATAAATTACCTGCAATTCGACACCATTATAAATTAACTTTTGTTTGCCCTCATCAACCTTTAACTTTTGTCTAATTTCTTTCCTCAAAGCAGTGACCGTTTTAACTTGATTGAATGGTATGTTAGATTTTTGTCCATTTAACAATACAATGTAAATGTCTCCTGTCGCATTACTAGCTCCGTCTGCAGTCAAAGTTTGTGGTGTCCTTACGTTTCCAATACTTTCAACATCAATTTTAAATGGTGCTTTGTCCCATGCTAATGTTAAAAATTTTATTTCCTCTTGATTTAATTTCTCATTACATTCGGGACATTTAACAGGTTTTTCTTTTAAATTTAAATTGGCTATTAAGCACTATAATATCGAAGAGGGGCAAGATAAAAGTTTAAATGTAATTATTAAAAAGAAAGAAAAGAATAGGTTAGTAACTTACTCTTAAACAATAGGCAGGAATATGATTACAACGATCTGTAATTGTTGTTGATGGAAACTCTTTGGAAAGTTTATCATGATTACACTTAACACACTTCATATTTTTATTGAAAAAATATTGTCAAGCAAGGTTGAGTGTAAGGTATGAATTAGAAATTGGTGGGAAAAAATGAAAGTATTATTATGCATAAAGTCATTGTTTGCTTATTTCATTATCCCTTAAATGATAAACATGAATCAAATCTTGTTTTTCAAGTTTTTTATTTATAGTACAAGCTACCAAAAACGTTTTTTATTAGATCTTTTTCGGACTTATAACAAAACATCCCATTGTATGTTTTTTCCTCTTTTGAAAACCACCAAAGTCTTTCCTGTTAATTTTTTTTTTTAAAAGAATGAAGTGTTCAAATTGTAAAATTGATAAATTATCTAGAGAATTCCCAAATGATATTATTAGCCAAAATTGTTTTCATATCTCTACTTTTTGTTTGAAGGTAAAATGATTTTATTTCCATCTTAATAATCGTTTTAATTTTGACTAATTCTAATTTCCTTATCTTGGAAATAAAGTGTATAATAAATATTATTAATACTAAAGACGCACAAAAACAATGTCCAGAATGTAAATCAAATATTAGTGCAAAAGAGTTGGAAAACCTAAATATATTGTGGGAAAAAGCGCCATTTAGAATTAATATTGAAAATATTTCAGAATTACATTCACAAAAGATATCACAAAATGGTGAAGTTGACGGACATGGTAATGCTACTGCAGGGGATTTTTATGTTGTATTATTAAACGGTACCAAGTTAAAATTTAGATTGGAAACTATTAAAACTGTTGGAGCTTTAAAGGAAGCTATTAAAGGTCAAACTAAAATCGAAACTAATAAACAAAAATTAATTCATAAAGGTGTTGAATTACAAGTAAGTTTGTTATTTGAAGAGAGATTTCACATTTTCCTTTTTTAAAAAAAAATTTCATTTTGAAAAAAAAAATTTATTTTTTCCTTGGATATTTAGACATATGCTAATCAAGGAAGAATTCAAAATCAATTATCAGAATATCATATAGTATCAGAAAGTCATATACAACTTATCGTATTATTATATTCTATATCAAAAGAATTATCCATTAGTGCATTAACCTTTGATTTATTTTGGGGATATCCATCAAGTGGATGTGATTACTTAGATGGTACCTGTTTGCTTTATACGGGTACTGGAAATAATGCAGGTCAACTTTGGCGTCGTTTTGATTATCAATCTACAAGTTTTCATGATATCCCTAATATGTCACATTCTGGTGACATTATGGATCACGCTGAGAGGAGGGGTACGTAAATATTTATTTTATTTAAAACAAAATTATCTCCTTCTTTAAAACTTGTTCTATCAATTATATTAGGTCATCATCGTATAACAGCAAATCTAGCATCATTACCACCAACAGTATCAAAATTATATTTTATCCTAAGTTCATGGAATTCACCAAATATAGGTCATTTTCCAAATCCATCGTTTAAAATGTTTGATCCTTCAAAACCCAATATACAATTATGCTCTTATACTATTCAATCCGCTGCTTCTTCACAAGCTGTTATAATGTGCGTTGCCGCAAGAAATTCTTTTGAGGGTAATTGGAATGTATTTGAAATTGGGAAATTATCTGCTGGTAATGCAAAAAATTATACTCCGATTGAAGATACAATTAGTAATATGGATAAATTTTTCGGTATTTAAAGTAAAAGAAATGTTTATTTTTTATTTTATTTTTTTTTATTGTATATATATATAATTATTTGTGTAGTACAGAACATTATAAATTTTAAAATAAAATGAATCTTGGTATTTCATCATTTCATAAGGAGAAACAATGTTTCACAAGATCTCGTGTTACAAAAATCTCACTAGCATAACCGTTGAAATTCTCGAATAAATGTCGTTCCTTCAAATTTTTCTTTTTTTAAAAAATACCAACGAAAATTAATAAAAAATGCCCGGACCAGATGAATGGTTAGTTACTATACGGAAATGTCAGTATTTACCTGAGCCTGATATGAAAAGGCTCTGTGAAATGGTAAGTCTAAGTATTTCTCTATACTTTATGGTCCTAAACTTACCTTTTTTTTTTTCAAAAAAAAAAAAAAATTACTTTTTGTGTATTATGATAGGTTAAAGAATTATTAATGGAGGAATCAAATATACAACCTGTACACACACCAGTTACGGTATGTGGAGACATCCATGGGCAGTTTTATGATTTGCTAGAATTATTTCATGTTGGTGGAGAAATTCCTGATACTCATTATATATTTATGGTCAGAAATTTTAATTGAATTATTGTGAATCGGATTACCTTTTATACGTATTTTCAATCGAATATGTTTTTTAAAAAAATTTAGGGTGACTTTGTGGATAGGGGTTATTATAGTTTAGAAACATTTACTTTATTGATGGTTTTGAAAGCAAGGTTTTGTATGAAATTTATTTTGTCAATTTATTTAAAATTCTTTCGGTAACCCTTATTATATGTAGGTATCCGGACAAAATTACACTTCTGAGAGGTAACCATGAAAGTAGGCAAATCACACAAGTGTATGGATTTTACGGTAAGTCT